CACACACACACACACACACACACACACACACACACACACACACACACACACAAACACGAGTCATTTTCGGAGTCTCGAATGGAGGCTGTATAGTGCTTATCAAATCTCTTTTAGCATGATTCTAGTGTTAACGATTTATTGCTATTCTTGTATTTTTCGGCAGTTGATAACAACTTAAATCGGTGTGTAAATTTTTTGGCCCCCAAGTTGTATATCTGTCCATCCATCCATCAACATCGATTGAACTTGGAGAGTATATTTAGCTTTCATACTGTATCGATTGTTGCGGTACTGTCTTAGGGTTAACATTATATTGTACTGTCAAGCAAACATCATAGCCAAGTCCTAGATGTTTCACGGCAATAGTACTGTTTCCGTGTTGAATCCTTTGAACGATGTAGAACGATGTAGTTGCTTCACTTGCGAAGCTCACCATCACGCCCCCCGGGACGTGACCCTGTTCGAATCTCATTACTGTCATCCAACTTTTTTAGTTCTACCCGTGAATTGGTTTCGGAAAGTTCGGAAAGTACCAATGTGACCCCAATTAAAGAAATAAAACGTTTCGTTAATATTGTTATTAATCGCGATTTTATTCTGGTGTTGGTAGCAACAACGTGAATAGTTGTGAATCCTTTCATTGTCTGAATGTCTCCGACTCTCGATTCCTTTTACAGGTATATTACTAAGACCCTGGAACAGTATGTGAGCAGTGATTACTGCCTAATCTATTTCCACTGCGGTTTGACCAACAAGAACAAACCGAAATTCGGTTGGCTTGTTCAAGCCTATCGTACATTTGATCGCAAGTAAGTGTGTGTGTGTGTGTGATGCTGTCCACCTTGTGCGATGTATCACCCGTGTATTGAAGCACTCGGCACACCGCGGTCTCTCACGGTCACCCAGGCGTTTAATCATCAGTCGTCTTTTCAATCAATCCCCTGAGTCGTTTCCCGATTTGTTTGCCAAAGACATCGTTTATCGGTTTGAATCAGTTACTCTTAACGACATACAACTACCCAAGTTTCCGTCTTGACTGAAGCAATAGCATCACAATAAACCGCGGTGATTGAATTTCATCACTCCCCTGGGGCTGTGGTGTGTGTGTGTGTGTGTGTAGGGGGGCGGGGGGGGGGNGGGGGTCGCCGATTGTAACACCTTATTCATAATGTCCCCTGTGCGTGTGCGTGGGGGTGTTCATCACCGTGCTATTTTTACGATCTGCTTGCGTTGGGGTTATTGTTATTGTTGTTGTTGTCGTTCGTAACCATAGTTTCACATGATCCAAACGAAAGACATTTCCTGTCTCATCGATTTCGCATTCTGGGCATTATCGTCGTGTCGTTTACCGATACACTTGCGCACACTATTCCCCACTCCTCTGACCCCTTACATAAATGGTGGTACCAGTAGATTTTTCAACTTTTGTGGTTACTAGCTTATCGATCTGATGCGGTTTTCTCCATAACCAATCGCAGACCCCGACTAGGGTTGTGTGAGAATATCGCCAATAATTAGCCAGGATTTTCAGGTGGTTATTCTTTGATACTGAGAATCTCTCTGCGTGTGGGATCGTCTTGGTTCCACGTTCGACGTTACTTTTGCCGTCGAATGCATATGTAGGTGCATGGCTTTTCTTGCTTCGTTAAGCATCTTTCGCAGTGCTCCGATTGACCCTTCCTTACACAATTTGAGTTTCTCTTTATGCGCAGATTTCATCAATAGGTGTGATTGTTCCACGTGATTCAGACAGACCTCCTGAGGGGGACTCATATGATGCTTGGTACTGTGTAAATGATTCGATGTTGTACGGGAGGTGATGATCACCTTGACTAGGTTTAACGTCAATGTTCCAAAATTGTTATGCTCATTGTTGTTTAGTGTCACGCATTTGGTTGAAAAAAAACTTAGTGTTTTGTACGCTGACATCGATGTGAACCAACAATGTTGCCTTATTGACAACTGGAGCTCAATTTCAATTCATTCATCTATGGGCCTTGCAATTTCATGCGCTAGTTTCGGTACCATTAATGACCCAGACTTCAGAATCTTCTGTTCTCAAGTATTTCAACTGCTCCCCCTCCGCAATTCGGCTCTTCTNAACGTTTCATGTGAACTTGCATCTGACAGCGGTTCATCACGACCCAACCAATCCTCGTGCTGTTTTTATCAAATCGCGGTTTTCTCCCTGTGACTGAGATAACTATCTGTCCTTTTCCTAAGAAGAATCAGTCAGGGATCTAACAAATCCGTGGCGTCACCATGATGTCTCACACCTTTTGAAGAGAGTGCTATAGAATATCGCAGTTGTAAAACGTAAGCGTATACGCCTAATACGAATTATAATTTCTATGTATCAGAACATATGTCAGAACAAATGCTTAAATCATTGCCACAGTCGAAAATCGAGATCAGGAACGATGTCCTGGGCAGATTTGTTTATTTTTTCCTATCTGATTCATCTATATCCGTGCGCATAGAACCAATCGTTTTCTCCAACCTGCTCACCTACAGTTAACTTTACCCATGCGACTGAAGTGCGCTCATATCTTTTGGTCGGCCACCTTGCCCCGCATACTGTCAGCATCCTCGTATGATCCGTCCCCGAAATAACGGTTATGCTCCTGATCATCCATTCTCTTGCTTCCTTTAAAATTTACACACGTTCATGCTCAGCCAACTAGTTGTGGATTCTGGTTTCGACATTCCCCCTCCCACTAAAGACGATCAGTTTGACCATTTTTATGTGCAAGGCGTAATGCGTCTGCTTGTGTCATATCTTGTTTTCTCTGTTTCCGCAGAAGAAGGTAAGCAAACGCACGGGTATGATGCCATTATGTTGCTTTTCACATGCTCGTTTTCTTTCGTTCTTTACCTTTCCGTCAGGTCGTCCAGGCCAGCTTGCCCCAATTGTTAGATAGGTTAAATCGTGGTAGCTATGTATACAATAGACACCTTGTTTCATTAGTTTTCCTCTCACATTAGTTCGATTGCGGTATCGGATCGTTTTCGTTTCAATCACCCCGGGTCTAACTAGCGCTCAGCGTTGGTTTACTCAGTTGATCAGTCGATTATATNCGATTATATGTGTTCCTGTTCCTGCTGGTGGACGTTCTGTCCGCCCATTGCTCCCGTGGTTGTTGGGGTCGCGTGCCCTCTTAGAGAAATCATCGACCGAACTCAATGTGTCTAATTCAGGTAGAGATTACGATCTCACGAAACGAATCGTGTTGTTCCATTCTCCCAACACTTTCAGTGGTGGTCCCACTGACTTAAATCACTTGAATGCTAACCATGTGGATCAGTCGATTCGCACCCGCTCTCCCTACCCCACCCCACCCCTCTGTGACTTGTTTTATTTGGACAAATTCCATTCTCCGTTGGGTTATCGATTTCTGATCTGAGGAACACCTAAACGATCAGTTATAATTGCTGATTGACACACACGATCGGTTTGTTTTTCCCGATTAGCAGCTGTTGACAATGTGTGTGTGTATATATACTTACATAGGACTACGCGAGTGAACCTTGTCCTTGGGAGCTGCCAAAATTAGTTTTTCTTACTGTCCAACTGAAGTTGTACAATAATGCGGTTTACCTCTACACTTAATCATGAAATTTTTACAGTTCTTTTGATGTTTCAATCCTCAAACTTTGTGACACTTGTCTGTGAGTGCAAAGTGATCAGTCCTATCTACATTTTTCTACGCACCAAAGGCTATATCCCTTGTCAGGTACATTACACGGTTCCACCGAGAGGTTTAAATTGAATCCATGAGGTGTATTTCCCATTCTGATCCGGTAGTTAGAACAGAAGTGCAACAATTTCTCCCTGTATGTACACCATAAAATGTGACATCTGTTTTCAGCTTAGCTAGTTGCGGTGATGTTTGGATAGTTTTTAACCTAGTCTCATCAGTGTGCATAATTCTCTAACGTCCCAAAGCTTGAGCCCTCAACTAGACACACCTATTTCAATGGGTCCTATGTGCGATTTTCTCCAGTCTACATCATACACACACACATGAGGTTTGCGCTAGCCTGGTTTTATGATGGTCTTTCCACTGGTGTCTATTTTCTGTGATTGCACGGTTTATACTGTCTATTGTGTGAATTGCATTATGGTGTGTGTGTGTGTGTGTGATAGAAATATACACTTAGCACATCTCTTCCATGTCACTTCATGATGTCATCTTTTTAGTTTTTCTTGATTACTTACTCCAGTCATCTACACTTATTTCATGATTAACTTTCTGCAACAGTAGTGACGACAAAAAAATCACCGATTAAATCAGTAGTTCCGTTCGTTGAATTTTTTTTTAAAATTTCCTCAGAACCCGTTTGTTTTGTGGTACAAGACGAGCTTCATCCGAAATATCTCTCCCCGGCAATATTTTTAAGTTGTATGGTCGAATCTCAATCCAAACATTGTCTGTGGTTTGCAATGTTTGTCTGTTTCATTATTCGTTGTGTTTCACCTTTTTGCGCAGTTGTGTAATTTGTAGTGGAGGGCTTGGGGCGGGCAGGGGTGGCAAGGGTGTGAGTGGATCAATGGGTTTGGTTTGGACTTCTGCTCCAGTAGGGGATATGACCATAATGAAAGTTTCCTTTGATACCACAGCTTCTAAACACACACACACACACACAATACTGATCCAAATCGAAATTAATTAATTTTATTGATTATGTATGATGAATTCGTCGTGTAAATGAAAGCAAACCGGAAAAACTAGGGAGTGCTAGACAGCTGTTTCGACCTGGTTGGGTATTCATGAGAATCCATCGACCCAACTGGTGAGGATCAAATCTGGGACCTCACGGGCAGAACGTGAGCATACTACGCACTCGACCACCGGACAGCTGATCAGACCGTTTTTCATTTTTATTGATTTTGCCACATTTCTTTGTGGATTCCGCACTAGAACACAAAACTAACTAAATACAACCACACTCACCCCATTGGGACAAACAGTGGAACGGGTAAACCCCATGAACCCATGAACTTCACCGTTCGGTTATCGAAACGAGTAACCAGTCTCGGCGACAGAATGCGATTTCCGTTTTTCCTCGGAAATGAACAACTGCCACACACCTCAAGTGATAAGGACCTGGGCATCGTCATTAAAAAAACACACTTAAACTGCTCACTCAACTGATTCAAGGCGTCGAACGCAGCTGTAAAGATTGTCGGTTTTCTTAGGCAGGTCTTTGGCCGGTTTGAGTTAGCGCTTTTCCTCGGTCTGCTATCAGCATACATTCGACCACTCACAGAGTACGCTATCCAGGCATGCCTGCAACGTGATTGCAAAATGCTGGAGCGTTCACAAAGAATGGCCACCAAAATGGTTAGGGGTTGAATCGTTATTCATACTCAGAAGGACTGAAGTCGCTGGGGTCATATTCCAATCACTACCGGCGTATCAGAGGAGATATTATTATGGTATACCAAATAATGCAAAACCCAAGCCATATGTGCCGCCCGGTGCTGAAATTATCACTCACCGTTCATCTTCGAGGACATCCGTTCAAACTAGTGGTGTCAAAGTGCCGTCGTCAGTCATTCGCAGTCAGAATGTGTTCGATCTGGAACTCCCTCCCACCCCATGTCGTCTATGGGTCCAAGCATTGAATCTTTCGAACTGAGACTCGATGAAACATTGGCACACCTTACATCCCAACATAAGTGAAACGGAGCTGCGTGCAGCACTGGAAGAAGCCCGTATCATGTGACATTTAACACAAGAACATTTAGGTATCACTGTTTTCTTTGAACACAACACGAACCAATAGGATGAGAGAAGCATGAGCTTGTAAGTTATTCCCATAATAAATCGTTGATCTTTTACTAACCCAAGACGATGAGACGATGTTTAATGGTCGGCAGTTTATTGGATCATAACGTTCTTACGCTCCCAAAACACCATTCACGAATCCGGGCTTCCGAGTTCACCCTTTCGTCCGATTGAGACGGGGATATTTTTCAGGTACTTACTAAGCTGTATGAATAACGCTGTCAGCAATTGCGCAGGAGCGGTGATTAGCGGCCAAGTTGGTACAGATTACTATCCAATTTCAGTCGAGGTACCTCATGTCCTACTTGATAGTACTGAGCCATGTCTTCTGTTGAACACCAGAATCACGGATGGATACATATACGCATACATTTATGGATGAATGTCAATGTCAACTCGTTGCGTCATAATGTGATGGAAGGTGGTACAAAGAAAGTCCCGGCTAGTGAGCGAATCAAGAATAGGGCCGATCCAACCAGGTGCACAGACGTAACGGCTGGAAGTACTTCGTGACACACTGTCGACTACCACTCGAAACGAACGAATCGACAATTACAGCCCGACGGACAATCCGCATCTAACCAGAAAGATATCCACCGAATACCACAAGGTCGGAGCTGTCGATCAACGTATCCCGCGCTACGATCGGTTCAAACCAGTCGGAATGACACGCGGAAGAAGAGAAAACATACGTGCCAAGTGCAGACCAAAACTCACAGGAATGGACCAACAGAATGAGGCATGAATCATCCTACCACGCGGTTGAGAATTGAATGTATATAATCAAACGCATACACCGGTTGTTTTTGGAATTGGATCAATAAACGTTTTGCCAGTCGACTTGCCTTCTCGTTACAATAGGTCGCGACTTTCCGAGGATCGGCTATCTTTGCTCACGGCTATGTGCACTTGACTGTCGCGTTGGTTGCAGTGGTGTTATATGTCAGTTGTATGCATCGTTCGTTGCTATAGTTCTGTTATAGATATCCCGGAGAATCCCTGCGTTGATATAGCCAGTGACTGGAGCAGAACAAGATGCCTATCGACTGCCAGTACGGTTTCCGATCCCATCGATCTTCCGGTGATCTTCTAGCGCTCATTTCGCGTACATGGTCAATGGCACTCGACAAACACGGAGAAACCCATGTGGTGTCATTGGATATATCGAGAGCTTTCGATCGTGTCTGGCTCGCCGGTCTGCTGGCTAAACTAGCCAGGTTTGGCTTTCATTCAGAACTTGTGTCCTGGACAGCAAGCTATCTCAAGGACCGCAGTATCTCCGTTCGAGTAGATGGGACCATGTCTCGTTTCGTTCCTGTGATTGATGGTGTTCCCTAAGGTTCTATACTTCCCCCTTCCCTTTTTCTGATGTTTTTTGATGACCCCCTTTCTTCAACTTCAATTTCCATTCACGCCTTTGCCGATGACACTACTCTACACTCTCCTCTATCCTATTCCTCTTCGTGGATCGCTAACTACAGCATTAGTGACAACCGCTCCTCCTTTATCTTCTCCATGAATTCTGATCTGGGCCTTATCTCTGCTTGGGGCTGTCGCAACCGTATTCTGTTCAATGCCAGTAAAACTTCCCTTATATCTATTTCTCTTAAGCACGCATCCTTCTCCCCTTCCTTGAATTTCAACTCAAACATTCTCCGTTCCACAGAATCATGCGACTTATTGGATCTTTCCTTATCTTCTTCTC